CATGGAACTAACCGGGGCGGGTCAGCCCAATAGCTGGTGCTTGGGCCGTGGCCTCTGTGTGTCTGACACCGGTAACCCGGAACGTGGGCCCGGCATCAGCGTCTGGGAACTGCCGGGGTCGGTCGCTGAGATTTGAGGTGACGGTATTAATGCCTTAGATAAATACGAGCTTTTGTTTAAAAAAAGTCTTAGAGTTCCTTTTTAAATAAATAAATAAACTAAACATGTTAACCTGGAGGAAAGTGAATCCAGTATTTTGGATAGACCTCACGTGGACTTTAAATCAGCTGCACTGAAACTACCACACCATCTTTGAGTTTTGGGGTTTTTTTTTCTACTTTCTTAGATAAATTAGGGTTAAAACTACTTTGGGAAAGCCCTTGGATAGTTCAGTCTCTGTATCTCTGCTTGGACTCTAGGTTTTGCTTAAATCTCTGTTTGCAAAAGCTGACACATTTAAAAGTGGGCATATACATCCTGGTTTCAATCTGAAAGTGATTAGCTCAGATGTGCAACTCGGGTGGTGCAACCTGAGACTTAAAGGCCTTTAGTTTGAAAGCCAAACACACCACCTTCCCTCCCCCCGACTTTGAACAGTCTTAATCTAAATTGTCAGTCTTACCAACTAGATGTGTTTTAAAGAAGAAATCAGATATTGAAGTTTCCCATTTAAATTGTCTGAATTGCTGTGTTATGTTTATTTGGTAATGGTTGTGTGATGGGATACATCAAGCATGAGAATGCTCCTCTTTCTTGTTTCACCAAAAAGGTGACTGTGTGTTTCGGTTAGAAGACCAGGAATGATGAACGGTATGGTTTGCTAATTGGCTGGAAGGTGTCGCCAGGAAGCAGAGGTTGCATTCACGGTCTGGGTTGTCGTTTTGCATATACCTTGTGCTCGAGCAGACGTGGTGCCTTCCCACCGCAGCACCTGGTGCAGCACGTGGGGCGGCACCAGAGGAGGTTCTCTCTCGTGTTCCTCGTGGTGTGATGGCAGCAAGACTGACTCCCCTTGGCACGAGCGGAGGCAGTCAGGGTGGTTTTCTGTTGGAATGGTTGCTTGCCTGCAGGGAGTTCACTGGTGGAACGACCCCACCAGAGAACGATTTAGCCACTATAGCAGAATTGTAAGCCAGGCATTAGGAGCTTCCGCCCTGTGCGTATGAGCCAGGTTGCTGACCTCTCTGGGGCTGTTGTCTAAATGAATGTTTATGCTGTTAGCCCCCAGACTTGGAGAGGTTCCAGAGAAGCTCAGGAACCAAGATAAGAGGATGGCATGGCAGATGTGCTTCAGCATAGCAGTTGTCATGCGTCAGTGCTGACGGTTGGCAGGAGATGAGAAATTGTTCCTGTGCGTTCATGGTTTGAACCATGAGAGACAGCTGTGGGCAGGGGGAGGGCTTGTGTAGAAGTTGAAATAAATGGGTCAAGTTCACTGTAAAGGGAATGTTGATGGTGGTACAAAAACCTGTGAGACTGCAGACCGTGCTGTGATACCTGATATATTGTGGAATGTGGTAACAACTTTGGGCTGTGTCACCTATGTAAAGTAGAAACAAATGAAAGGTTGAAAGGAACAGTAAGTATATTGCCAAGTGAGGGGGAAAATATTTAGAGATCTTGAGCACACAGGCTGCTGAGAATTAAGTTTCTATGTATAAAACATTAATAATAATGAGTACTAAGAAAACACGTAGTTGAAATCCAGAGAACTTTAAGTTGAAATGGCATTGTAATAACTGCTTTTAAGTATATGGTATGTATTGTATTTCAATTAAACAGATTTTTAATGTGTAGTTTGATGTTACCAAACTTCAGTAACTTAAACAAGTGTTTCTTAGGCCTGATTTGTCTCTACACCACTTAGGCTGGTTTTACAGTGGGTGTCAGTGAAATCTGCCTCGCCACATTTCTTTCAAAATTCCCCTAAAAATACTAGTAACCGTTCCTTTACTATATTAAAAAGAAAAGCATTTTGGTTTTAAGCAGATCTGAGTAGGAGGTGCTTAAGTTTTAAATAGAATATGTAACCTGATTATTTTGTTTGGGGTTTTTTGTGGGGGAAAAAAAGTGGCTTGGAGAAGTGAAAATCATAGAATGGTTGCTCAAATACTGGTTTTAATAATGACCCCGATATGAATGACCTGTAACAACACACTTCGTTGCTCTTTGTTACGTGCTTTTTAATTTAGATAAACTCTTTGGTGAGAAAGGAAGTGAATGTTTATACTGTATATGATTAAATGGAATTACTTGCCACTAAAACTTGTTTCATTCTTTTTCCAGGACTTCAGTGATTCTGGACTACTGTTACTGAAATGATATTAGAGAAGGCAGTGATTGCACTGTGTTTGTTGGATGAAACCCAAGTATTTACTTTCAGTCAAGTGGGTAAAACCCCCTAACTGTAGTTTACATGTGTAAATCACTGCGTTACTGTGTTAGTCATTGTCTCTATGCAGCAATGACAAGGCTAGAAGAAGCAAACAGAGAAGTGAACATGCACTCATCAGTCAGATACCTTGGTTATCTCGCCAGAATCGACCTCCTGGTTGCCATTTGCATGGGCCTTTATGTCAGATGGGAAAAAACAGGAGATGCACTGATTTTGGTAATATTTATTCTAGGGCTCTTTGTTCTTGGAATTGCCAGCATACTGTATTACTATTTTTCAATGGAAACAGCAAGTCTGAGTCTCTCCAATCTCTGGTTTGGTTTTTTGCTTGGCCTTCTCTGTTTCCTTAATAGTTCTGCATTCAAAACTGATGTGAAAGAAGAAGCTACAAAATACTTACTCCTCTCTGCCATTGTTTTAAGGATATTATATGCTTTGGTTGAGAGGATTTGTGGTTGTATCCATCATCGACCAACTCTGCTGACAACAGTTGAATTTTTGGAGCTAGTTGGGTTTGCAATTGCCAGCACAACTATGCTGGTAGAAAAATCTGGAAGTATTATTCTGTTGGTCGTGGCTTTGGCCATGTTGATTATTGACTTGCGTATGAAGTCTTTTTTGGCAATTCCAAATTTGGCAATTTTTGGAGCCATTGCATCGTTACTCTTTTTTCCATCACTGCAAATCCCCACAAACCCTTTTGCCTTGGCGTGTTTCTTCAGCTGCCTGATTTCAAATCCCCTTCTCGACGTTTACTTCAGTGGACTTTCAGTTACTGAACGATGGAAGCCCTACTTGTACCGTGGTAAAATCTGTAGAAGGCTTTCTGTCATCTTAGTTGGAGTCATCGAACTCACCTTTTTCATTCTTGCAGCCTTTAAACTGCGTGATTTGGATCTCTGGTATTTTGTGATACCTGGTTTTTCTATTTTTGGAATTTTCTGGATGATTTGTCATGTGATCTTTTTTATAACTCTTTGGGGATTTCACACAAAGCTAAATGACTGCCACAAGGTGTACTATACCCACCGTGCAGAAAACAACAGCCTTGACAGAGTTATGGCGTCTAAAGGAATGCGTCACTTCTGTTTGATTTCGCAGCAGCTAGTATTTTTCAGCCTTGTCGCGACTGCCGTTTTGGGAGCTGTTTGCTGGCAGGTAAAAAATAATCTCTTTATCTTGATCCCTCTCTTGTTCCTGAGAACTGTTGGCTTCTTAAAATTCCCATGACATTCGATGGTGTGCTGCAGCTCGGCAAATTGAAGGTGGGGCCCTTGGTTTCACCAGCACATGCTTCTCCAGCACACACATCAAATTTAACACATTGCCCTGTCTTGACTGTGACCTGTTAAGGCAACTGGATCTTACCAGCTTCCTTATGTTGGCATAATAGGAAGAGTTAATGAGTGCTTCCAGGGCAAAAGAGGTCTACATTTACCTGCTTATGAAATTATTTTGCTTTTGAATTCACTGTGCACTAGAGTTAGTTTTCAAAGTAAATCGCAGCGTTGAACTCCAATAATGCTCACTATATCAAGGGCTTTTCTTACAGACTGTTTTAACTGAATCAAAGCCATTCCTGTTTTAAGAATTAATTTATTAATAATTTTCCTTTACATTTAACCATTAGTGTGGAGATCAAGGTCAGTTGATAAACTTGTAAATGTTGGTATAGTGTGTGCTCTATGCGTCATACTTTCATATCTGTTTATGCACCACAGCATATGTCCTCTGAAAGACCAGTTCTTAAAATCACAGTGTTCTTTGACTTTTCTTTCCATTTCTGAATTAAGGATGTTGTCTTTTCTTTAGCAGAAAACATACGTTTCTCTCAAAATATTTGTTGAGTGCCCAAGTGTGTTGTCACAGTTGCTACAGGGTGTTTGGTGTCTGTTTTCTTTTTTAAGTTGATCTAAAGACACCAATCATTTTTGTATGCATGCATCTCTTAAATGAATCACATGTATGTATATATAATAATATATAAAAATTGTGTGTTATTTATAGCAGATCCAGATTACAGAAATGTCTCTATAGTGTTTCTGAAAAAATTTACTGCCCACTTCTGCAGATATTCTTAGATTGAATAACCTGGTGGATGAAAGGCATTAAAGAGCTTGGTGGGAAAGAAAAATGAGTTATTTTGTGAGTTTTTCTGTGTTGGGTTTTGGTGGGTTTTTTGGGGTTTTGGGGGGGGTTTTTTGTTGGTTGGTTTTGTGGGATTTTCTTGTGTGGGTTTTTTGGTGGGGAGTTGGGGATGGAGAGGGTGGTTTTTATTTGGATGAAAAGGATTAGAGGTTAACAGACAAGTCTGGGAGGAAGGCTGGGTAGTTTTGCTCTTTCTTTGGGAAAGTATCAGCATGCATGGCTATAGTGTTTGGGCTTGCAGAAAGGCCAAAAGAAAGAAACCGAACCAAAAATAAGGAGAGAAGAACAATCGCCAAAACGTATTTCTAGAAAGTAAAGGTGCTAATGCATAGACAGAGATAGAAAAGAGGTTTGGGAGTCAGAAGCAGCAAAGATGGGATATCAACATCCTGATACTGCTCACTTATATACTTTTTCTTCTGAGAATTGTGTGATTTATCAAAGTGCTAGTCTTTAATTTTTTTATGCTAGGTGACTTTTTCAGTAAAAGCAATTCTTCTACCATCTCTATCAGATAGTCTTACTAATTTCTCTATCCTTGCCATTCTTTAATATCCTGGCACACATTAGTTAATTTAAAAACTATGTAATTGTTACTTGAATAGAGGCCCTTCACCTAGTTAACAGTCAAACCAAATCAAGTGTGTAAGTTGTCCAGATAGTCACTGGGGAAGAGGCAGTTCTTTTTGGTGGTGCCTAGAGCCTGTCTGCAGAGAGTTAACCACAGGCTTGGACAGGATTCCCTGCTGTAACCCTCCACCGGAAGGGCTCCCTCTCCCCATGCCATCTGTTTAAAGCACACAGGAACATCCTTTAGAGCTGCTTGATTACTGCAAACTGTGTGCATAATGGAGGAGGGTTGGACTTGTTACTTTTTTCTCTTACATTGACTGATAATTCCTTGTAATTCTTTTCTGTCTCTGTATGCTGCCCCAGATTAACTGCAGCTGTTACATGCGTGCTAATTTTCAGTCCTCTCTAGTTCTGACGAAGTGCAGTTGTGCTGTGGAATGACTTTCTCAGGACCATTCACAAGAAGCAAACTGGCAACATGGCTAAAATCTTAGTATTTGTTACTAGCTAATTTCAGTTTCTATCATCCTGTGTGTAAATAAGATAAGCTATTGCTCATCACCTTTGTCTGATAGGTTGTGTATTTGCCTACTCAGTGGGAGGAGTAATAGTAGTAGCAAAAGTGAAAGGCATCAGATGAAATACTTTCACTTGTCAGGAAATCCATTTTTTTTATGATAATTTATTTTTAGTAATTACATTTATTTTACTGTAGTTATGTGTCTTTCACCATGTATTTATATGCCTTTCATCATATATTTATAGTAATGGGTTAGCTTAAGATTATGAATATGGTTGTCTCCAACTAAAAGTGTTTCTACTTCACAACATGTTGTGACGTTTGCCTGGCAGATCAGTGTGTCATTTCATCTCTTGTCAGAAAATGAAATACTTCATCAGACCTGGCCAGAACAGAAATTAGTAAATGGATGTGTAATTCATTAAAGTGATTGTAGGAAGCTGAGGCCTTTTCTGTATTTTTTCTGGATAGCGTGAGGTTTCAAAATAATTGCAAGAAAGCAAGCAGTGATGCATAAGCACACAGTTCACCCTCTTGCAGAGCATTTTTTTTTTCCAGAGGTTTAAGGAAACTAGTGTTTTTTCTTCTTTGCAGGGGGACATTCGAGGCCTGAAGACTCAAATTAGATCCTTTGCTGGATTTTTGAGTCTGCTGTTTCAGGAGCTCTAACAAGCTCAACAGTAATGCAACAAACAAGCTTCTCCAGGGAATATGTACTTTTCTTATGGTGATTTATATGTATTGTAACATCTAAAGAAACAAATCAGCCTGTTAGAGATCACTCTCTGCCTTTCCTCTTTAAAAAGTGACAATTATTGCTAACTACTTGGTGGGATTTCAGGGGTTGTTTGGGTTTGGTTTGGTTTTAAGAAAACTTTGCTGCAGAAAAAGGTTAGTGACATCAGTATGTGGCAGAAAGAGATTTTAGGGCCGTCTTAGATACCTTTCCATAAAAAACATCAGCTTAATGTGTATTAGTGGTCAAAAAAGCAAATAAAACATTGGTAATTCTTAGGAAAGGACTGGAGGTATCATTATGACATTATGTATAAATCTGTAGCATCCCTATTTTGAATAACTGCAATTCTTACTTGCCATCCTGTAGATAAGAAAACAAGCAAAAATTCAGGGAAGGGCAACAGAATTCATTAGAGACATGGAACAGTTTACATGGAGGGAATGTATGAACACGGATACTTCAGTCAGGAAAAGAGAAAACTAAGCAAGAATGTGATGAATATGCAAAATATGTGTGATATGGGAGAAGGTAAACAGTAAGAGACAATAAAGGATCAGTTTCAGTGCAGAAGTTGGGGGGAATCAAGTTGGCAAGAAGCAGGTTGGAGCCAGAGAGGTGGGAATCATTCCTCATACAGCACCGAGTTAGCTCTGCGGCTGTGTATCTTGGTACGCCGTATGTGCCAAGCAGTTGGGGAGGATCAGGAGCAACGTGAACAAGTTCATGGAAACAAATTCACTGAGGTTTATGTACTACATGGAAACCATGTTGGGCTCCGGAAGTCCTTGAGCCACCAGTGGTTGGTGTACATGGGAAATGTGCTTGGTCTGTCCTTATAGCCTATCCTAGGCATCCATTTGGCCTCTTTGGAGACCAGACATTCGTCTAGGCAGACCTTTGCTGCAGCCTAATACAGTAACTCTCACATTCTTGTATTATGGACGTTTTTTTAACTTAAATTTTAAACATACTTTTTCCTTACATTCTCCTCCTCGGTCACCAGTTCCTGAAAATGTGTTTGCTCTTTTGAAAATTGTTTAAAACATTTTTTGTATGTGGAAGATTAGCGGGTTTCAGGCTTTGCAACTTCACTATGTAGTCATTTTAGAAAGTGCTAATTATATTTGAAATCTGTTAAGTGCCACCTGGAAGGTGAAACATTTTTTATTTATACATTTCTTCACGCTGAAGATGTACTGAAAGCTTGTTTAATTATACTGTATTTGATAAGAGAGGTGGCTTGAAATCACTTCATGGTCTGCCATTTGACCTCCTGTGTAATGAATAGAATTGACTAAAACCTGAGCCTCGGAAAGGTACTTCCTAATAGCTATAAATAGTCACAGCATATGAACAGTCTAGCTCAGCTGTGTCTTAGGTTGCAGAAGAAAGGGGGCGGTGGAGGGGATGGGTTCTGTTTCATGGAAAACTTTGTTGCAGGCACATTATATATGCCCTTTTAATATTTCTAATAACTAATATCTGTGCATCATATAAGTCTCAAGTGTATGCAAGGTCAAGACCTAATGAGACAGTTGTCTGCTAATTGGTGGCTAGAAGTATCCCAGTTGATTAAAATTGCCAGAAAAATATCAAACCTCCTTTCGTGGAAGGGCTCATAAAGTGAGGTCAATTAACTCACTGTTGAACACGCAGTGGTTTTCTGACTCATGCAGAACTGCTGGGGCTGAAAGTCCTGTTAGCCAAGCATCTTTTCTTAAGGGGAGCTTAGCCCTTGTAATACGCCAGGGGGTTGAAAGTCTCTGTTCATGGTGCTGCAGTATGTGCTTGGCTTGACCTGTAGCTCCTGAAAGCAGAATCTCTGACAGATGAGACTTTAAATGTGAAGAGCAGAATTGACAGGCCTGTCTGAAGCTGGAGAATGAGCTTAGGAAGCATAAGGAGTGTAAAAGTAATTTGTTAAAGCTGGTTGCATTCAAAAATGCAGTAACAGCTTCTTGGTGGGTTATGTTTCAGGGGGGACATGGTCTGCTTCTGACAATAATCCCTGCTTTAGCTGGAGAGGAAAGACACCTTGCCTTGTCTGTAGAAATACATTGACATTTTCCTTGCAAAATCTGCAGGAAGTGTTCTGCTCCTCCTTCACATTTGTGTGAGTAATTTCAGTCAGATGAATAGACTCTAACTCCAACTAATTTCAGCAATTACTCATGTGAT